CCATCTAATGAAGTAAGGGATTTTTCAGGGAGTCTAGAGAATCAAATATGACAAAATGACAAATCTTAACCAAAGAGTGCCGTGGTACAGATGAAGAGAACCCAAAATGTATTTTTCTATCTTTTCTTTTCTGAGTTAAGTGCCTAAAAACAAAGCCAATGAGGGTTAAACAGACCCATTCTGAAAATTCCTTAACATCTTCATTTTCATCCAAATTCATATATTGCTTGAAGAAAATAAATTTTACATAAATGAAAATGCAGTCCCACAGACAAGTATACAGAACATAGCCCCTCAGTTAGCTTCAAACAATCTGGGTCCATTAATGTATTCTTCCAGAACCAAAGCTGCAGTACAATAGAACCACAGCCTCTGACATTCCTCCTCCACCCCGATGGATCTTGGGTTTTCCTTCCACCTCCCCTCTCCTGTGACTACAATAGTAGCAGGACAAATGGAATCCAAAGATACGATGATGCTATTTAACATGGAATAAACATAGCGCTTTAGTCAGTAGAATCCTCAATACTACAATAATAATTCCAAGTTCACTGATTATGAAAGTAAGTATATGAAATCTATTCCTAAGTAATCATACCATCGAGAGCTGAATGTAGACTTTCAGAGTGAAAGAAACAGAGAATTGTGTAGAGATGTGTATCCCTATAATACAGATTTACCGCTGTACTTTATAGACAGTACACCATGTCTGTATTTTTCTTTTCTTTTTTTTTTTTTTTTTGCAGTCTGGCATAGTTAATCACATCCAGGAAATTTTATGATTAGACACTAATATACAACACATTTTGAATCCTTACAGATAATAGAGAGCACCCTAGGCCCTCCCAAGGGCAGAAAACAGACCAGTAGCTCATAGACTGGCTGCAACTGCAAGAAGCAGATGAAGATATCGTCAGAAAGATACATATTCCTGCAGTGTGGCTGCTGAGCAGTTCTGCCTTTATGGATCTCATCTCTGTTTCAGATCCTTAAAGAAAGTTACATGCTTCCTGACATTTCTAAAGATTTCACTAATGAGAATCTAAGATATCTTCACTACGCTAAGAGCCTCAGAACAGCCCAAAGAATTGGGGCATCTTCTACTGCTTTCCCAGGCCATAGCAGAGAGCTGGATCAGAAGAGGTGCAGCTGGGACTAGAACCGGAGCCCATATGGGATGCTGGCACTTCAGGACAGTGCTTTAATGCACTGTGCCACAGCACTGGCCACAGTGTAGTATTTCTAATAGAAGAATTGGTTAAGTCATTAACTTCTCTAAAATACAAGTTAAGTATTAGTTTTGAAACTCTGATTTCTTCATGAGAAAAACAAAAGGTTAATTTTCTCTCTTTGCTTCTGGATATGTAAATTTTCTTCTAAGAAATTAATCATGACTTTTACATCTCAGACCCTATTATGAGTAAGTAGAGAATATTGTGGGGTCATATGCTCATTTTATCAAAGGAACATTTCTCCAATTAAAAAAAAAACATTATGGGCATCCCATATGGGCCCTGGTTTGAGTCCTTGCTGCTCCATTTCTGATCCAGCTCCTTGCTATGGCCTGGGAAAGCAGTAGAAAATGGCCCCAGTGCTTGGGCCCATGCACATGCATGGGAGACCTTGAAGCTCCTGGCTCCTGGCTTTGGATAAGCCCAGCTCCAGCTGTTGCAGCCAACTGGAAAGTGAACCAGCAGATGGAAGACTTCTCTCTCTCTCTCTATGCACCTCTGCCTTTCAAATAAAAAAAATAAATCTTTGGAAAAAAAAATATGTCCAAGTCTTACATCAGAGTAGTGGGTTTCAGTGCCTAGCTCTGGTTCCTAACTCCAGCTTCCTGCAAACACCAATCCTCTAAGGCAGCCCTGATGGCTCAAGTATTCAGGTTTCTGCCCACACATGGGAGATTAAGGTTGAGTTCATGGGTTGGCGCCATGGCTCACTTGGTTAACCCTCTGCCTGCAGCTCTGGCATCCCATTTGGGTGCAGGGTTCTAGTCCTGGTTATTCTTCTTCCAGTCCAGCTCTCTGCTGTGGCCTGGGAGGGCAGTGGAGGATGGCCCAAGTGCTTGGCCCATATACCTTCATGGGAGACCAGGAAGAAGCACCTGGCTCTGGGCTTTGAATTGGCATAGTGCCAGCTGTAGTGCCCATTTGGGGAATGAACCAGCAGACAGAAGAACTTTCTTTCTGTTTCTGTCACTATCTTTATCTCTACCTGTCAAATAAATAAAAAAAAATTGAGTTCACACTCCTGGCTTCAGCCTGACCCAGTTCTAGCTGTTGCAGGCATTTTGAGGAGTAAAGCAGAGAATCAGATTGTATTTTCATTCTCTCTCCCTCTGCCTCCCAATTAAGTAAAAAAAAAAATTAAAGAAACTCAAACTGGACTAAAGGTAATAATATAGGTAAATGTCCCACTTCTTTCATATGACCAACCACTAGGTACTAAAAGTTTTCATTTTTTCCACTCATCACATCCTTTGCCCATGGCATTTAATTTCCTAGGTTTTAATTTTTCTTTTCCCTAGGTAAAATGTGACCACTTGGTGCCACTGCTGTAGCGTGAGGTAAGACGCTGCCTGCAATGCGGGTATTCCATATGTGTGCTATCTGAGTCCCAGCAGCTCCCCTTCCAATCCGGCTTCCACTAATGGTCCCAGAAAAGCAACAGAAGATAACTGGGGCCCTGCCACCCACGTGGGACACCCAGATGAAGTTCCTGTCTTCAGTCTGGCCCAGCCCAGGCCACTGCAGCCACCTGAGGAGTAAACCAGCAGATAGATAATCTGTCTCTTCCACTCTGCTACATTTTCAAATATATGCATCAATCTTCCTTTAAAAAATAAAAATAAAAACCATTTAAGCTTTCAAAGGTATACAAGAAAGAAGCTTACAGCACTGATAAATTCAGGACCTAAAACATCTTCATGATTGAAAAAAGGAAAGCAAAGAGCAATATACAGAATGGTACTGAGTGGGTTTTTAAAAGCATATATTTTGGTCCCTAAATTTCTAAACCATGAACATGATTGTTACATAAATATATTTATACATTTTTAAGATTTGTTTTATTTACTTGAAAAGCTGTTCCATCTGCTGGTTCACTCCCCAAATTACTGAAAACCTGGGGCTGGGCCAGGGCAAATCCAGGAGTAGGGGCCAGTGCTATGGCACAGCAGATTAACACCCTGGCCTGAAGCACTGGCATCCCATAACAGTGGTGGTTCAAGACCCGGTAGCTCCACTTCTGATCAAGCTTTCAGCTTATGGCCTAGGAAAGCAGTAGGAGAAGGCCCAAGTCATTGGGTCCCTGAACCTAAGGGGGAGACCTGGAAGAAGCTCCTGGTTCCTGGCTTCAGATCAGCACAGCTCCAACCATTACAACCAGTTGGGGAGTAAATAATCAGATGGAAGACCTCACTCTCTATCTCTCTCTATCTCTCTCTGTGTGTGTGTATGTGTGTGTGTGTGTGTGTGTGTAATTCTTTCAAATAAATAAACAAATCTTAAAAAAAAAGCCAGGCATCAGGGAAATTTCATCCAGGTCTCTCGCTTGGGAGCAGGACCCAAGGATTTGTACCATATTCTGCTGCTTTCCCAGGTATGTTAGCAGGGAGCTGGATCAGAAGTAGAACATACAATTGGTGCCATAGAGGATGCTAGTGATGCAAGTGTTGGTATAACCCATTTTGCCACAGTGCTGGCCCCATAAGAATTTCTAATTCCTAGTAATTAACAGGGAAGAAAGAAGTACGGCAGGATACCTTTTTTTAGAAAAAATTATTTTATTTATTTGAAAAAGTTATATAGAGAGGTAGAGAGTGGGGTAGAGAGAGAGAGAGAGAATCTTCCGTCTGCTGATTCACTCCCCAAATGGCTACAATGGAGAGAGCTGAGCTGATCTGAAGCCAGGAGCCAGCAGCCAAGAGCTTCTTCTGGGTCTCCCACATGAGCAAAAGGGCCCAAGGATTTGGGCCACCCTCTACTGCTTTCCCAGGTGCATTAGCAGGAGGCTGGACTGGAAGTGGAGCAGCCGGAACTCTACCAGCACTCATATGGGATGCCTGTATTTCAGGCCAGGGCTTTAACCTGATGTGCCACAGTGCTGGCTCCAACAGGTGACCTTTTACTCTCAATAATCTCTTCTTGGTATTGGCAGCAGTTTGTAATTTTTTGTTTATTTGCCTTCTTCTTCATCTATATTTTTAAAAAATTACAAAAAGTTCCAGCACCCTGAGAACCTCCATCACAAGGGCATACAATCAGATGTTCATCCAGAAAAGGGTGGTGTAGATGCAACGTGGAAAATGCAAGGTGAGTTGATTCATCTTTCTCAGGCTGTGGTTTCCATGGGCAACTTTTACAACCAACTGCCTTATTTGTTCCTCTTCCACAGAGTGGAACACATGTTAAGTCATCCTATTTAGCCAAAAGCCAGTGGTAGCACTTCAATATGTCATCAATGCAGGGCCAGCATTGTGGCACAAATGGGTAAGTTGCCAACTGCAACAGCAGCATGCCTTATGGCACTGTTTTGAGACTCATCTCCTTCACTTCTCATCCAGCTCTTTGCTTGGGAAAGCAGCAAAGATTGCCCAAGAGTTTGGGTTCCTGCACCCACATGGGGGACTGGGACAGAGTTCCAGGGTCCTGGCTTCAGCCTGGCTCAGCCCCAGCTATTGTGGCCATCTGGAAGTGAGCCAGCAGATGAAAGATAGAGATCTCTCTCTCTCTCTCTCTCTCTCTCTCTCTTCCTTTTACCTAAACATACATTACATACATAAATGAAAATGCATCAATATAGCAACTTTTTGAGGAAAAGTCTTCTGATTATTGCAGGTATTGTCTCAATGCATAAAAATATTCAGACACAAAAATTATAAGCTGATTTATATTTATATTTCTCAACCACATACTTTTCAGAAAAAATTGTCTGCCACTCAGCATCAGGTATCAGTCTGAAAGCACTGATTAAAAAAATCAAGTAATTTTACTAAACACAAAAACCTCTAGTATAGGCTGCATATAAACCAGTGGCTTCCATGGGTATACACAGATTGATTTTTGTTAATTTACAGGGATCACTGCACTTCCCTGGCATGGAGCTGTCTGAAGAGTTTAAATGCTGATGGGTGTGGCATTATTTCTGGTATTTGCTTATTATCCAGAGTGCATTTATTAAATATCTATCATGAAATCCACACTCTATAAATCTATTTCAAATATGTTGATATTTAATGGTACTTACACACTTACAAACTGAGCTAATCCTCCTAACTTCTCTCTGGAAAAGCTATGCCTTTGACATTGCCTTTTTTCACACATATGGAAATGCATAATATGCTTCTGTATGGTACTTCAGAATTTATAAAAGGCTTTTCAGGTAAGATTTACATAACATCATGTGATAGTGGCCAAAGGACACAGTCTTCTCATTACAGAGGGGAGAGGTATGAAGTGACTCTCCGAACAGTTACTCAGATTCTGTCAGTCAGGTTCAGAATCTTATCAGGTATCAGATACACATCTAGATTTTTTTCCCTACTGTCTCTTTGTCAGAATTCCCAGCCTATGAGTGAACTTCAGTCTGAATGAATGCTAATATTCAAGGTTCTAAGTGAAAAAATTACCGAGGTTTGTATTGGTGAGTAAAGCATGTGTCTAAATGTTACTTGTATTTAATAATAAGTATTGAATCATATGAAACTGAATATAAGATTATGCAAATTTTTAAGATGAAGAGCATATATTTAAAACCACATTCTTACATTTTGCAAACATGTTGAAACACCTTACTGGAGCATGTGTTTGGCATAGTGGTAAAGCCTTCCACATCCCAGTCAGAATGCCCAGGGCTCAAGCCCTAGCCCTACTTCTGCTTCTGGCTTCCTGCTAACAGAACCCTGGGAGGCAGCAGCTGATGGCTCAAGTACTTGTGTCCCTGCCACCTGTGTGGGAGACCCACACTGAGTTCCTGGCTTCAGCCTGACCCAGCTGTGGTTGGTGCAGACATTTGAGGAATGAGCAGTAAATGGAAGGGCTCTCTCTGCCTTGCAAATAAACAAAAATAAATATACAGACCTTTTCTTAAGGTGTCTTGCTCACTTCTAAATGATTTCCCTTTTCACAGGAAAATACCTAACTGTCCTCTTTAGTAACAACGCATGTTTTGCTCTCCATGTCCACTCCTGAGCTCCAAGTACTGGCAGCTCACCCTAGCATGCTGACTGGTTCCAATGTTCAAGTACTCATCTCCCATTCTCTTTTGGTGGGTCTACCGGAAAGAGAGTATCTACTGTAATTAATATCTTACTGTTGCTCTTGCTGTCCACCTGCAGGCCTGAAGGATGACCACCTGAATACACACTGTGAAGTTCTGGACGTAGTTTCCAAACTTCAGTCACTTTGCAGCTGAGGGACTCTGTCCTCATCAATCACCAGAAAGCCTGCAGGAGTAGAGAGAAGCTGTGTTTGAAGAATTCACAAATACAGTGTATTGAAGCCAACCACTACCACCCCCACCACACCCCTAATTCAGGGTTCTGGCAAATCCCAAACCAGGAGTTTGGGACCAGGTGTGGTTCAGGAGGTGACCTCGACTCCTTACTCTGAACAGCTCCAAAGTGCATGGTGCACCCAGCGGGAGCTCAGTGCCTCAACCTCCCACCCTTCTGCCCTTGCCACCAGGATGCCCGGCTCCCAGAGCCTCCAGGAGGCCTGCAGCAGACCCGCAGGTGCAGGTGCCCTGGGCTGTGTGTCCAGAGCTAACCCAAAATACAGTCCCAGCTCAAGTGTCACCTCCCCACAAAGTCACTGTCTCCTACTCCTTACCGGAAGGCTGCAGGCCAGTATCCGGCACCAGGAGTCACGGCATTTGGGGTTTACCTGCTCTCCCATGAAGGAAGATGCCCCTGTGGGAACCCTGCTGCACCTGCAGCTAGGGCTGGGGGAAGAAGGGCTGAGCCAGCTTCCACCCTAGGACTGCAGCCTGGGAAAGTCCAGGGCCCCAGCGCCCTTGCCAGGCATGGGATCTCCCTAAGTGTGCTCTGAGCCAGGGCCTCAGGCATCAGCAGCACCCTTGCTTCCAGAACCTGCTGCAGGGCAGCTCAGGTTCGGCCCGGGGGGGGGCCTCTGGCCAATCCTCGCTGCCCTGGGGCAGGACCAGCACTGCCAGAACATGCCACACTGGGCTGGCTATAAAGGTCATGGTCATTGGTGGGCAGCTGGTAGTTGCGGTGTGTGTGGGTGACGTGGGTGATGTTAAGTTCTTGGCTGTTCCGTACCTTGGGGCTAGAATGCAGGCAGTGGCCCAAGAGTCAGGAGGGACAGGAGAAGAAGAGACAGACCTGGTGAGTGTGACCAGCCACCTCTCCCAACAGCCCTGCTGGCTGAGGCTTGCAGCACGTGCTGCACTTGGGGAAGCAATGAAGGCCGAGTCTCAGCAGGAAAACCAAGTGCAAGGTGCTAATTTGCTCACTGACGCAGCATCTATGTGGTCTGCATTGGCAGACAGTTGGAAGGGCTTGTTAGGAGGGCGCTTGAGGCGCACTGAGCCCTCCTGCAGCTGCCTGCTCTAGGCATCCAGGGCAGCAGAGTCCTGCAGGGTCCCTAGAGATCCTGGCCATGCTTTGCCTTCCATCATTCACCCTCCTGCACTGCTGCTGGGGGCAGTGCTTCTGTGGTTGTTATCTCATTTGAATCCATGGTCTTTTTCTCACGATGGGCTGATCTCACACAGTGACAATCATGGAACAAATCACTGTTCTGTGGCATCTGCCTCCCAGGAGCATTGCAGGTGGACAGGGGGACATGGGTGACCGGTGGCACCTCCTGTGCATGGTCTCTGGCCCATCCAGGGCCAAAGGTGGAAAGAGAAGCAGAGGAGCCAGCTCAAGGCAGTCCCGCTGTGGGTTCCATCAGGTGCAAAATGTCTCCCGATTGCGGTTAACCTTGCAGCGAAACTGTCTCCTTGTGTGGGCCAGAGACAGCATCCACTTTATTAGCTGTGCTGTGTATTGATAATTAAAATTTGGGAAGTCCTATCTTTAGTCCTCACAGCATAGTTACATTCAGAGGAACTGATGAAACTCCTCAGTACTTTGGGGCTGAGTGTAATATTAGGTGGGTAAGCCTGTTGTTGGATTTTGGTTTATAGGTATTGGGCAACTTTATTTGGTAAAAAAGCATTCAGGCTAGGTAGTGTATTCAAGGATGACCACTTAGTGCATTGTCTTTTTTTTTTAAGATTAAGAGAATTGAAGACTGGGTTGAGCTACCTATGGCAAAACTCCACCATTCCTGGGAAGGCCACAATTGGCAAGAAAAGCAGGTAGCAAGCTTTCATCAAGTAAGTTGAGATTCCTGTGTTTGCAATCTGGAGAGCTCACTGAAGAGCTGGGGTGGGAACTGCTCTGAGAACAACTCATTAGAGAACTGCTCTTGCAGACCTTCCCTGAAGGAAGCACTGTTGTGGTCAGAAGCATTCCAGGAGCTGCTGGCCAGCAATTGTGAATTAGACTTGAATTGAATCCATTGCAAGTATCACAAGAGTGCAGAAAGGCTGTGTCCTCAAATGAGCAGCTCACCACGGAGAATTCGACTTAACCTAGAAGGTCTGTTTAGCTCTGTTTATTTCTCAGCATATTCACACCAGGTGGGGAAAATAAATCAGCCTTCAGCTCTGCAATGGCAGTGCTCTTGGTTGAGGCTGAGGATGCTTTTCATTGCATGCAGTGTTTGCAAGAGACTTAGTTCCCTGAGGATTTATGCCTCTCCTGTAAATACATTTTTGGCACTAAAACAAACTGAAGTATTTCTGTTTTAGTAGTATGGAACCAACTGAAGTATTTTACCTACCGGCATCTTTGTCTTTAAAGAGCTAAATCCACAGGATTACAGGATGGAGTAAAAACTAGAGAATAGCTAATCCTAGTACTAGAAAAGCACAAGGGATTATATGATCATTAGCTTCCTCATATTCCTCATATTTCTTTTTATTTTTCTACCTTCTCTTCCCTACCTACACATGGTCTTGGTGTATTGGAAGCTTTTCTAAAAACTGAATTCTGTGAAGGAAATATAGGCTACTGGCTGGCTTGTGAAAACTTCCAAAAATATCCACCCACCCCAGAAGCCAATTTGGGAAGTGAACCAAGAAAAATATATACACTCTTCTTAGAAAAAGGCCCAAAAGAGGTAAGACACATTTCCTCATTTCAGCATAAAGTGTACACTCTTGACATCAAGAAGCAACAAAAGAAGTAAAGACATAAGACTAAAGGAAGGGCCAGGGAATCTGAAAAGCTTCCTTTCCTGGTGTCCTGTCTTTCAAATAAGTCTCCCCAGACCTGGCAGGTGGAGCTCATCGCACATTACAGCTTCTGATTTTCACTTTCAAAGAGCAGAGCCTCCTTCTCTAACAAAGGATTATGAGTGATCTTTGTTTCAGATGAACATGCTTTCAAACCAAAACTCTTATTATCCAAAATATGCAAGAAGCTATGACTCCCAGCTTTACAACTGCATGGAAAAGGGTGTATTGCTTGATGGAGAATAACCTTTTGAAGTTGTATTTATTTGCAAGGCAGAGTTACAGAGAGAAAAAGAGAGGGAAAGACATAGGTCCATCTGCTGGCTCACTCCCTAAATGGCCACAATGGCCAGGGCTGGGCCAGGCTGAAGCTAGCAGCTTCCTCCAGGTCTCCCATGTGGGGGCAGAGGACCAAGCGCTTGGGCCATTCTCTGCTGCTTTACCCAGCAAGGAGCTGGGGAAGAAGTAGAGCAGCTGGGAGTCAAACTGGCATCCATGTGGGATGTTAGTGCTGCAGCCAGCAGTGTAACTTGCTATGCCACAACACCAGCCCCCAGAAGAACTCTTATCCCTGGTCTTTCTTTTGAGTCAGAATGCTACCAGGACTTGTGTTGAAATCCACAGATCACCACAGAACCCCATGAGAAGAAAAAGGAGCCTCAGTGTAGAGGACATGTTCTGTTTCCTAAGGCAGAAGTTTTTGAGTGCCAGAGACTGACATTCAATTCAGCCTGGGTGTTTGGGAAACATCCCTCACAACTGTTGATTCCAGTTCAGGTAGTAGATCAGGAAGTGACTGTCCAGGAGATGCCTGTATCAGAACAGCTTCCACCACCGTGAAGACACAGGCAGGAAATACGTGGTCTGAGTGGGGTGGGTCTCTCTGGAAAAGCAGGACTCTGAGATGGAAGATAATGCAATGGAATGCTGTTGTTCTAGACTCACTTAAAATCAATAGGTCTGGGATTCTGTGGCCTTAGCTACCTAGCTCTACATCTTTCCTTAAATCCATCCATGTTACCACATGGTTTTAGCTCTAGGTTTTAAGTCCAAACTAATGTACCATGTTTATTATGTAGAATCATCCATTCTATTGTTGTGTATTGCTGAACCTGAAGTGATGTTTGAATTGTTAAATGGTATATAAAATAGTGAGTGCTCATGTCTAGAAAACCACAGTGGCTGTTCCAAGTGCCAAAAACTCTTGAAGGCAGTTAAGCTTTGAATATTTGAATACATTTATTTTGATAAATAATGTCATTGAATACTCAGAGTCCAGGTGTGAGTTGATTTGATTTTGGTAACTGGAAATATGACCAACATAGATCTTTGTAGTAGAGAAGAAGCATGCATTACTGAACCTGTGCAGGGAGAACTGACAGCCCCCAGAGCTGAGATGAGGGTGGCAAGGAGGATGCTCTTTTCTAAACCTAAGTCACAGCACATCCTTGGACCCACCCAGGGTTAAAATTACTGACAGAATCTTTTATTAAACATCACGGTCTTTGATGAGAATAGAACATTGACCTAACTCCCTTTTTGAGGATTAAGAACCAGCTAAATAGGAAGCTGCAGTGGTGACCTTGAAGGGGTTGGGGCCCAGGGTCAGGGGTCGTGGGTCCCAATGGCTGGCCCAGAATGGCTGCGGGCTCCCTGGGTCGTGGGCTGGCACCGTGGCTCTGGGCTCCAGAGGTCAGGGGAAGCCTGCTGGGCCGCTTCCTGCTTCCTTCCTTGGGCAGAGGTCAGGGATCACAAAGTGACCTAAAGTGACCAGTTCATGGCAGAAATCTCTGACGTGCCACTGGGGCCTGCGCCGGGCTCATGGGCAGGGCGCAAGCAGAGGGGAGTCACCTGGGACCTGCGGGCCAAGGCTGCAGGTGTTCCTGTTGGACCCCGGGCACCTGCGGGGCCTCAGCCCCTCTCATAATGGAACTGCACGTGCACCAAACATTGGGGGTTCACACCAGCAGATGGAAGACCCCTGTCTCTATGCCTTTCAAATAAATCTCAAAATAAATAAAAAAGAAATGCAAAAAAAAAAAGAACCAGCTAAATAGAAGTGAACTGTATGGTGAAAAACACCAATATTACATTACTCAACTCTCCGCTGCTCCAATCAACAAAGAAGAGAAATAAGAGAGATATAGGCCTCCCCTTTTTTGTTATCCTTCCCTTGGTTCCAACTAGCATGGGCTTCCAGAAAATGTACAGGGAATCCATTCTCTTCTGTGGTCAATACATGATCTCAGAATTTCCCTTATTCATTTGCCTAACAGATTTTGATTATGTTACTCTAGGGAAAGGGAAGGCAACAAAACTGCCCTTTTCCCCCATTTAAAAAATCTATTATTTATTTGAAAGGCAGAGTTACAGAGAAGGTGTAGAGACAGATCTTCCATCTGCTGGTTCACTTCCCAAATTGGCCTCAGCTGAGCCAATCTAAAGCCAGGCACTTCTTCCAGGCCTCCCACATGAATGCAGTGGTTCAAGCACTTGGGCCACCTTCTGACGCTTTCCCAGGCACATTAGCAGGGAGCTAGATTGGAAGTGGAGCAGCTGGGACTTGAATCAGCACCCATATGGGATGTTGGCACAGCAGGCCATGGCTTTACCCACTGAGTTGGTACCGTGTGTGTGTGTGTGTGTGTGTGTATGTATGTATGTATTTTTATTTCAAAGACTCATTTATTTATTTGAAAGGCAAGGTTAGAGAGGGAGAGACATAAGAAGAGAGATCTTTCAACCTCTGGTTCACTCCCCAAATGTCCACAACAGCAGAGGCTGGGCCAAGCCAAAGCCTGGAGGCTGAACAGCAGATAATCTTTAGTTATTAATTTAAAATGAATAGGCTGTAGCTGGTGCTGTGGCATATAAGGTAAAGCCACCACCTGCAGTGCTGGCATCCCCTATGGGCACTGGTTCATGTCCCAGCAGCTCTGCTTCTAACCTAGCTTCCTGCTAATGTGCCTGGGAAAGCAGCAGGAGGTGGCCCAAATACTTGGCCCCTGAATCCATGTGGGAGACCTGGAAGAAGCACCTGGCTTTGGATTAGCCCAGCTCCAGCTGCTTGCAGCCACTTGGGGAGTAAAACATCAGACAGAACATCTCTGTCTATTTATGTGTCTCTCTCTATAATTCTGTCTTCCAAATAAATAAATAAATCTTTAAAAAAAGGTTTATTAACATATGCTATAATCCAATCCAGTAAAAGTAAGAGAAGCATTAAATATTGCTACCTATATTTTTATTTATTTTTTATTTTTTAATTTTTTAAACTTTTATTGGGTAAATATAATTTTCCAAAGTACAGTTTATGGATTACAAAGGCTTCCCCCCCATAACTTCCCTCCCACCAGCACCCCTCCCATCTCCCACTCCCTCTCCCATTCCATTCACATCAAGATTCATTTTCAATTATCTTTATACATAGAAGATTGTTTTAGTATATATTAAGTAAAGATTTCATCAGTTTGCAGCACACAGAACATAAAGTGTAAAATACTGTTTGAGTACTAGTTATAGCATTACTTCACATTGGACAACACATTAAGGACAGAGATCCCACATAAGGAGTAAGCACACAGTGATTCCTGTTGTTGACTTAAAAATTTGACACACTTGTTTATGGCATCAGAAATCTACCTGGGCTCTAGTCATGAGTTGCCAAAGCTATGGAAGGCTCTTGAGTTCACTGACTTCGATCTTATTTAGATAAGGTCATAGTCAAAGTGGAAGTTCTCTCCTCCCTTCAGTGAAAGCTATCTCCTTCTTTGATGGCCCGTTCTTTCTACTGGGATCTCACTCACAGAGATCTTTTATTTAGGTCCTTTTTTCTTCTTTTTTTCTTTTTTGCCAGAGTGGCTTTCCATACCTAAAATACTCTCATGGGCTCTTCAGCCAGATTTGAGTGCCTTAAGGGCTGATTCTGAGGCCAGAGTGCTGTTTGGGATAGCTGTCATTCTACGAGACTGCTGTGTATCGCACTTCCCATGCTACCTATATTTTATATAGTCTAAGTATTGTATAAACTAAAATATACAACACTAGGAGTATGCTATCAGTAATTACACTACCAATCTCAATGATTATAAATAAGAATTTTAGTAACTATACTGATTGTGAACTGTGATTCAATGATTCTGTTTTTAAATTTAAAAATGCCCATGAACTTAAATGTTTCTGTGTAGCTCCTAATAGAACTACAAGCCTTAGAAGTTCTATGCTGTTTAACATTTCATCTTCGGTGCCAACTTGATTATTACACTGCCAGTTTATAAAACACTTCACAGTCATGTGAACCTTACCATAAGATAGGACTGTGTAGAATAAATCCTTTAACTATAAAGACAATCTTATCTCACAAGGGAGGAAGATCCAGAGGGGTCAAATGACTTGCTAATATCACTTAGCTCTGTTGGCACAGAAACAAGGAAAGCTCTCAGCTTCCTGCCACCTCCCCTTACACCACCTGCCTCAATTAGATTAGCCTGTAATTTTAAGGACACTCAGGCCCCATGAGTTTAAATGAATTTTTCAAGATTACATGACAAGTACCAAAGCCAGAAGTAAAAATTATTGCTTCCATCCTTCTGTTCCTTGTCCACAAAGGAAGTCTGATATACAGTTATGCATTATTCTAATATAATTTAAAACCAAGAAGCATTATTTGTCCCCAAATTTAACAATGAAACTACTTTTTTCCATTGAGGAAGTTATTTTAATGGATGATACAAACATACTTGTTTTGTTTTTTAATTTGAGATGCAAAGAAATGAACAAGTAGACAGAGAAGTGGTATTCACCCTCTAGTTCACTGCTGAAATGTCCACAGTGGCCAGGGCTGGCCCAGGAGCAGGGAACCCAATCATCTGAGCCAACACTTGCTAGCTCCCAGGGTCTGCATTATCAGGAAGTTGGAGGCAGGGGCTGGAACCGGTAATCAAACCTAGAAACTCCAATGTGGGACACAGGCATCTGAACCACAAGGCTGCACCCTGGCTTCCAGACTTGTTTTTTTCAATAGTCCTCTGAAAATGAAAGTTAATTATAACCTGAAATCTGAGACTCGGGAGTCCTCAGGTGTGTGTGTCTATGCAAGTTTCTGCATGAGAGTTACTTAGGTTGCCCAAGAGTCTGCAGTTTAGAGAGAACAGAAGAGTGAAACATGTGTCAAAGGATGTCAGCATTGGAGAGGTGGCTGTGTTCTAGTCAGAGGCTGAGGAGGACAAGTCCACAGAGAGCAGCAGCTTGATTTAGTCACAAGGAAACCGGCTGTTTCCGGATTCATGCACCCCTCCGTGCTGACTGGCTGTGGAATTCAGATTGAATTCACCTGAAAATCCCACTCCCACTCGATTTGGAGGGAATTAATAGCTGTCCCCTCAGCCAAAGTTTTCCATTTTATTTTCCAAAACACAAAAACTCATCTTGGTCATGTTGTCTGTAGAATTCTAAGCATGAAACGCCAATTTTTTTTTTTAATTCATAATAGCTACTCTGTCTGAACTCTTGTTTGTATTGCAACAGAATACAATATTCGGGGAGGAAGAAGGAAAACCAACTCAGACCCAGAAAACATTCAGAAAATTGCCGCTCAAGAAACCAAAAATCGGCTGAGGCACCAAAAAACAATGACAGCAAGCCAGAATTGGAGCAAGCCAACAGCTGTGCCCTGATTGAAAAAGACCATTCCTCACATGCCCTGAACTCCATATTCCAGCCTAAATACCAAAGCTCACATCAGGAAATTCATTACAAACCATGATAAATAAGAAAAATGTGAAAAAAGCCAAAGAAATCCAAGAGTCCTTAGTGATATTGGGTGTGATTTAGTCACAAGGAAACTGGCTGCTTCCGGATTCATCCACCCCTCCCAGCTAACTGGCTGTGGAATTCTGATTGAATTCACCTGAAAATCGCACTCACACTTGATTTGGTGGGAATTAATATCTGGTGCTGTTCTACGGGCTGGGGCTTTAATCCACTGTGCAATAGCACTGGCCCCTGTAAGTGGTTTTCTTAATTATTCCCAGCTTTCTGTCTGTTTTCTTTTTAGATTTATAATAATTTATTAATGAAAATGGATTTAGGAAGGTAAATTTTATTCTCAGTGAATATTTAGAAACAAGATGTATGATGAATTTGTCATGACTATCAATTATTGCATTTATCCAAGAAAAGGCAATGTCGTCTCTCATTTTCTGTTGCCATAGCAAAATATATATTTGTTATATGATATCAATTGAAGCTTCAAGGACAATATTCTAAATTTTGGGGTCGTAATGTCCAACACAGTCTTTAGTGTTATACAGATGATGTAGTGGGCAGTGTTTTAGTGCCACCCTGGAAATAAACACTTAACATTCTTCAAGAGAAAGAGTTACTTAGGGCTAAACCGCAAATCAGTTGCATTTATTTTTTTTGACAGGCAGATTGGACAGTGAGAGAGAGAGAGAGACAGAGAGAAAGGTCTTCCTTTGCCATTGGTTCACCCTCCAATGGCCACCGTGGCCAGCGTGCTGTGGCCGGCGCACCGTGCTGATCTGATGGCAGGAGCCAGGTACTTATCCTGGTCTCACATGGGGTGCAGGGCCCAAGGACTTGGGTCATCCTCCACTGCACTCCCTGGCCACAGCAGAGAGCTGGTCTGGAAGAGGGGCAACCGGGACAGAATCTGGCACCCCGACTGGGACTAGAACCCGGTGTGCCAGTGCCACAAGGTGGAGGATTAGCCTAGTGAGCCACGGTGCTGGCAGCATTTATTTTTTTAATTGTTAGAGTAATGCAGTCCTTAATAGTTTGAGGAGATGAACTTGATTCCCAGCTAGAGTAAGAACACTGTGGGGAAAATAATCTACTGCTTGTTCTTTTATGTTTTAAGATTTTATTTAACAATTTATTTATTTATTTGAAAGAGTTACACAGAGAGAGGAGAGGCAGAGAGAAAGAGAGAGAGGAGAGATCTTTCATTCAACATTTCACCCTCCAATTGGCTGCAATGGCTGGGCTGCACCCATCTAAAGCCTGGAGCCTGGGGGTTTTTCTGGGTCTCCCACACGGCTTCAAAGGCCCAAATCCTTGGGCCTTCTTCTACTGCTTTTGCAGGTCATAGCAGAGAGCTGGATCAAAAGTAGAGCAGCTGGGTCTTGAAACGGTGCCCATATGGGATGCTGGTGCTTTAGGCCAGGGCATTAACCCACTGTGCCACTGTGCCACAGTGCCATCCCCAAGGTTTATTTATTAACTTATTTGAAACACAGAGTAATAGAGATAAGGAGAGATGGGTAGTGAGAAAGAGATATCTTCCATCTGCTGGTTCATTCAACAAATGGCCACAATGGTTGGCCAGGCCAAAGCCAGGAGTCTGGAACTCTATCTGGGTCTCCCATATTTGTGGAATTGGCCCAAATACTCAGGCCATCTTTCACTGCTCTTTCAGCCACTTTAGCAGGGAACTCAATTGGAAGTGGAGCGCCAAGGACTCAAATTGTCTGTCCACATGGGATGCCTGAATTGCAGGTGGAGACTTACCTGCTGTACCACAATGCTGGTGCCTACTGCAGGTTCTCAAACAAAGCTCTCTGTATTTCCCTCAGTCACAAATGCAGATTATAGTACAGAGTTTCTCAGGTTCTGTTCTTGGGTAAATAACTCCATAGCTTTTACTTTAATTTGTTATAATGTTATTTCAGTTCTTTAAATGTTTATGAGTAGAATAATTATAGAAAAAGCAAAAGCTACTTTCTATTCTTTCTTGAATCTCCTCCCTTATTTAAAAATATTTATGAGCCTGATAGAGAAAGAAATTGATGGAGTGAGAGAAAGCTAGGGAGCTCCCATGCATTTCTTCACTGCCTAAATAAAAATATCAAGCAGAGGTGGGGCACAACTGAAGCCAAGAGTCAGGAATGGAATCTAGGCCTCCCTCTTGGTTGGCATCACCATTGCTTCCCCTGGTCTGCATTAGCTGGGAGCTGGAAACTGGAGCTGGCACTGAAATACAACTTTGGAAATTTGATGCAGAGATAGAATATCTGAGCTGGCATCATAAACACTATATTAAATGCCTACTGTCTCTTTTAAAATATTTTTTCTCTGCCATAATTGCATTGACTGTGTATAGTGTTTTTCTGGAAATTCTTCACTGTTCAATCCCTTCATAACTTCCCTGATGGTTTCTTGTCTTTTTCCCTGAATACTTCTACATTCTTCTGAACATTGCTCATTCCAGAGTGACTCTTGTCCCCCTTTCAGCCTACTGTGCAATTGCCCTTGACATAGTCTGGCCTTTGTGAACAGAAATTCCTGTTTCTCCCCAGCTTGGGCATTTTTCACAGCCTTTATACCATGGGTTTGATCCCCTGTTGAATGCTTCTGTGTGGCTGTCCAAATGCTCACAAATCTGAGATGAAATGACATTCTTGCTTCTTCATCCATACCCATGTAGAAGATATACAACTGCCATTGTTTGTTAGGTGACAGAGTTGACATGTTGACCAGGAGTGTTCTGTCACAGGTGATGATAGCATTTGAAGACCTGGCTGTGTACTTTACCTGGGAGGAATGGCAGAACATGAACCAAGCTCAGAAAATCCTGCACAGGGATGTGATGCTGGAGACCTACAGCAGCCTGTTCTCCCTGGGTGAGTGACACTCATGACATGCCCAATGGTAACATTTTCTTGCTATTTGACAAATATGTGAGCACTATTCATAAAGTTGAATGAGGGACAGGTATAGAATTTGAGTCCATGAAGAATCTGAATATCTACCACCTGGGAAGGATTTCACATTGGAACATTTGTTGCATAGCTCCTGGACCAAGCTGTACTCCTTTAATTAACCCAAGATAGTGATTTCACAAAGTCTATATTGTTTCCATTAATAGGGCACTGCATGACCAAACCTGACTTGATCTTCAAGTTGGAGCAAGGAGCAGAGCCCTGGATGGGGGAAGAAAGCCTTCCAGGTCAGTGTGTACATAACGGGCAGGGAGGCCAAAGCAGAAGCAGTGCAACAGATGTTGACTGGTGTTCTTTCCATGAGTTTTTCCCAAGTCTTACTCCTGAAGACAGCTGCTCCTGTGATTCAGACACAGACATTCTACAGTATCTATGGAGATCAGTATCTCTGGTAAAGGCAAAGGAAATGAAGTTTTCTGTGAAAATCAACAACTGATCAAAAACCTCCAGAAACTCAGATTATCACAAAGGAGTGTTTATAGAAAGAAATGAGAGGAGCTAACCAGGGCTGACGTCTTCACAATGAGTTAGAAATCAATTTTCAATGATTGAGCAGACTCTGGGTTGCAGAAACAAATTGTTTCAACTGGTGAGAATGTATAGTCAAGGTGGTATATTGGGACCATCTGTAACTATTGTAGTTCTAAGAAGATTAGGATGTCAGGTTTCCTTAGAAATATGGGGAAACTGTAAGAGTGCAGATAAAACAGAGATTTTTATTATAAAAATCCCACAAATGCTGTTTGCCTGGGAAGAAAGAACACAAGACAAGCACATATATATTCAAATCTTGTCCCATGAATGTGATCCTGCTTAGAGTATAGACACATTTCACTCTTTACCTTCAAGGAAATGATCTAGTAAAATTTCCCCATATTTATGGTTGAAATATCACAGAAGTTCAAAACCCACTTTTTCTAAAAATGAATTGAAAAAGGAGCTGGTGCCGTTGCTAACTTGGTTAATCCTCCCCCTGCACTGCCAGCATCCCATATGGGCCCTGGGTTCTAGTCCTGGTTACTCCTCTTCCAGTCCAGCTCTCTGCTGTTGCTGGGGAGGGCAGTGGAGGTTGGCCCCAATGCTTGGTCCCCTACACCTACAATGGAGATAAGGAGGAAGCAACTGGCTCCTGGATTTGGATTGGCATAGTTCCAACTGTATTTGCCATTTGAGGTGTGAGCCAATGAAAGCCAGATCTTTGCCTCTGTCTCTCACAGTCTAACTCTGACTAATAAAGAAATAAAAGTACATTAAAAATGAACTGAAAAAAATGGACAGGGAAAAATTGGTTTCTAGATTACAGGTGAATATATTTATTAAATATTAGTCCATTCTGTGAAGTCTTATTCATTTTTATGAAAGTAGAAAGTGAGAGAGAAACAGTGAGGAATAGATTTTATGACTAATCTGAAGCTAGAAGCCTGGAATTTCACCTACTCATCTCTATCACAGGGTCCCAAGCACATGAACCATTATCTGCTGCTTTCCAGTATCTATTATCTCAGAGCTGTATTGGAAGTAGAGTAGCCTCGGCTTAAACTGGCACTGTTTTGAGATACAGGCATCCCAAGCAGTGACTTAAGACATCTTACCACAAAAACCATTCAAGCATACTTGGAAAAAATTCTGGTAGTAAACAGGATCATGGATGAACATTGGAAAATCTATGGATACAATTTAATATATTAATGCATTATGGAGAAAACCTGTATATTCATAAATATGTATCTTCTAATCATTTTTTTTTACAGGCAGAGTGGACAGTGAGAGAGAGAGACAGAGAGAGAAAGGTCTTCCTTTGCCGTTGGTTCACCCTCCAATGGCCACCGCTGCAGCTGGCGCACCGCGCTGATCCTGGCAGGAGCCAGGAGCCAGGTGCTTTTCCTGGTCTCCCATGGGGTGCAGGGCCCAAGCACCTGGGCCATCCTCCACTGCACTCCCTGGCCATATCAGAGAGCTGGCCTGGAAGAGGGGCAACCGGGACAGAATCCGGCGCCCCAACCGGGACTAGAACCCGGTGTGCTGGCGCCGCAAGGTGGAGGATTAGCCTATTGAGCCACGGCGCCGGCTCTCTTCTAATCATTTTTTAAAAATCTTATGATGGAACAAGGATATAAGCCTGAGCCATTCTCCCTCATTGCCCAAAGTAGGTAAACTTTGGAATGTATTCCTTGCCCTTGAAACTCAATTGGGTCTCACAGCCTATTGCCTTCATACCCCACCCTGCATTATTTTCCAGGTTCCTAAGGCCCACACCCAGTTCCTGGAATTCCCCTCCACTACTGCCCCCTACCCTCATGCCCAGCCTTAGCCCTCCTTAAAAAGGTCTGGCCCCTGGGAGTTGGGGCCTTCATGCTCCATTTTGTACACACAGGCAGTTGGTCACCCACCTCTGTGGATTAATTTTCTCTGAATAAATTCTGTCTGGCTGTAAATTCATACACTTTCTCCTCTATTCTACAACTCTTTTCCTAACATTTTGGTGCCCTGTGTGAGGAGGCACCAATGCAGAAATTTTCCTAACATCTTATCCCTCTTAAATACAAGTAACTTCATTCCTTTTACACGAGTATGCTAGAAGAAACAATTATATTTGATTTAGTGACATCATTTTTTTTTCTCACTTCAGTTGCCATGAAACTGGATGAACTGATTAAGACCAACCAGAAAAGTCTGGAGAAAAATCTGAATCAGGATGTTATGAAAAACAATAAGACATTAACTCCCAAGGGAGTTGAATTCAGAAAAACACTTAATTTAAGTGTAAGCCATATTCCAAAACTGAGTATCAAAAAGAGAAACTATTCAGGAATAAAACCTGAAGAATGCAGTATATGTCACAATGTGTGTCTCCATTGTGGGCCTGATCAACTACAAGCTGGAGAGAAATTTCATGCTACTAAGGTACCTGGGAACACTCTCCAGTTCTCTGAACCTCTTAATCAATAGCACAAAATTCAGACCATGGACCAGGCACTTGAACAAATTGGACAAGGGAAAGTCTTCAAAAGGAAAAATATATTCTGTGAATCTGAGAAGCTTTTTATGGTAGAAACCTGTAATAAGTCAACCGTCACTACTGGCAAGACAACTCAAATAGTACAAGATTTCCATAAGAATTCTAACCTCAGTATACATCAACAAAGTCCCAAAAGAGAGAACGTTTATAAGTATATTGGGCCTGTGGAACCTGTCATTTACCAATCACATGTTAGATTGAATCATAGACCAAATATAGGGAAGAAATCCAATGCATGTAAACCTTGTGGGAAGTCATTCAGTATTAAATTCTGCCATACCCTCCATCACAGCACTCATATAGTGGATAACCCTCATGTGTGTAATGATTGTGGAGAAACCACTCACCAGAAGTCAGATCTCATTAGGCATCAGAGAATTCACACAGGGTTGAAATCTTATAACTGTAATGACTGTGGGAAGTTCTTTGGCCAGAAGAAACACCTCATAAATCATCAGAGAATTCACACAGGTGAGAAACCTTATGAATGTAATGACTGTGGGAAATCCTTTGGCCAGAAGGCAAACCTCCTAAATCATCAGAGAATTCACACAGGGGAGAAACCTTATGAGTGTAATCATTGTGGAAAAGCTTTTGGCCAGAAATCAACACTCACAAATCATCAGAGAAGTCACACAGGGGAGAAACCTTATGAATGCAATGACTGTGGAAAAACCTTGGGCCAGAATTCAAACCTCATAAATCATCAGAGAATTCACACAGGGGATATGCCTTATGAATGCAATGACTGTGGAAAAGCTTTGGCCAGAAATTAACACTCACAAATCATCAGAGAATTCACACAGGGGAGAAACCTTATGAATGCAATGACTGTGGAAAAACCTTGGGCCAGAAGTCAAACCTCATAAATCATCAGAGAATTCACACAGGGGATAAGCGTTATGAATGCAATGCCTGCGGAAAAAGTTTTGGCCAGAAATCACAACTCATAATGCATCAGAGAAGTCTCACAGGGGAGAAACCTTATGAATGCAATCATTGTGGAAAAGTCTTTGCTGAGATGTCAGAGCTCACAAAGCATCAGACAATTTGTACTGGGGGGAAACCTTATGAGTGCAATGACTGTGGAAAAACCTTTGCTGAGAAGTCAAACCTCAGAAAGCATCAGAGACTTCGCACCATGGAGAAAGCTTATAAATGAAATGACTGTGGAAAAGCCTTTGGTCTCATCCTTGCATACCCAGGATAAATCCCACTTGGTCTGGGTGGATGATCTTTCTGATGCATTGTTGGATTCAATTGGCCAGAATTTTGTTGCAGATCTTTGCATGTATGTTCATCAGGGAAATTGGTCTATAATTACTTTCTTTGTTGCACTTTTTTCAGGTTTAGGAATGAAGGTGATGCTGGCTTCATAGAAAGAATTTTGGAGAATTGCCTCTCTCTCAATTGTTTTGAATAACTTGAGAAGAAATGCAGTTAGTGCTTTAAATGTCTGTTAGAATTCAGCAGTGAAGCCATCCAGTCCTGGGATTTTCTTGGCGGCGAGGGTCTTTATTACTGTTATCATTTCCATCTGGTTGTGTGTGTGTTTAGGTTTTCTATATCTTTGTTGCTCAATTTAGGTAGGTTTTATGGATGGAAGGATGGTGGGAAGCCTCTTTGCTGTACTTCATAACTCATAAGATATCAGAGAATTCACACAGGGAATTTTCTACATGACCTTTTTGTGCAAGTTATATCTCATGAAATATTAGAGAATTCACCCAGGGGAGAAATGCATGAATGTAATACATGTGAATAAGCCTTTGTGGTGCAAATCAGACCTTATCAAACAAAAGAATTCTCATGGGGAGAAATTTTATGAATGTAATGACTCAAAGCCTTTTACCATAATTCAGCCCTCATTGTACATCATCAAATTCATATAGGGAAACCTCCTTTGAAAGTAAAATCCCTTTAATTAGAAGCCATACCTCATAAGACAACAGGGAATTCACATGGGAGAGAAACCTTATGGGTGTAATGAGTGTTGGAAAGCTCTGCCCAAATCTCTCCTTATATCAGAATGCACAACATATATATCTAATGAATGAAATAAATGTGAGAAAGTCATTTCACATAGGTAATGCCTCATAATCCATCATGGAATTTGAACAAGGGAGAGACCTTAACAATATAATGAATGTGGAAGAGCTTTTCTCCAAAATTCATGTAAGTATTGTGACAAAACCTTTTGCTGGAAATCACATCCTATCCAACAGAGACTCATGTAAAGGAGAAAACTTATAAATATTATTAGTGTGAAAATGTTGTTTGTCAGAAGTCAATGGTACATCAGAGAATTGAAACAGGTGGTTTCTTAGGAGTATAATGATTGTGTAAAAACATTTTCTTTATTTCAGTCTTGTATAGATATAAAATTCACAAAAGGTGATATTCTTTGCATGCTGTAAATAGGATAAAACCTTTAGCCAGGAATTAGACATCAACAGACTTCAGAGAATTCATAAGGAACAAAAGTCTATGCAATGAATTTGGAAAAAGTATTTCTGCTATAAATCAGTCTTCAATTCCCATGAATAGACTCACAAATGAGAAAACATGCATGCATAGAAAAGTGTACCATAAATTATCTCTAGATGGTAAACTAATAACTCACACAAAAGAAAAATCATGAGTGTAATGGAACTGGGAAACCCTTTGCTATAAGGCAGATTTCCAGAAAGCTTAGCAAGATTACAGAAAAGTCTCTGAAAATGTAACATGTCTGAAAGATTT